ATAGAGCAGACTGCTCTGCTGAGCTAAGGAGTTCCCACCATGTTTGAACACGTATAATAAAGCAATGAGATAGACAGCCTGCATGTGTCTACTTGGTTTGTTGACTTACACAGGGCATACAGGAGATGTGGTACATGGGTTGGTAAAAGGGTTTTACCGGGAAGGGTCTAGGGCAGCAGTCTCCAACCTTTTTGGCATCACGGACCAGTTTCATGGATGACAATTTTTCCATGGACCAGGAGGCAGGATCATTTTCAGGATGATTCAAACGCATTACTTTTATTATGCTCTTTATTTCTATTATTGCACTGTAATATATAATGAAATAATTATACAACTCACCATAATGCAAGATCAGTGGGAGCCCTGAGCTTGTTTTCTCACAACTAGATGGTCCCATTTGGAGATGATGGGAGACAGTGCTGGTGTCACCACCTCAGCTCCACTCAGATCATCAAGCATTAGAGTCTCATAAGGAGTGTGCAGCCCAGCTCCCTCACATGAGCAGTTCACAAGAGGGTTCATGCTCCCATGAGAATAGAATGCTAATCTGACAGGAGGTGGAGCTCAGGGGGTAATGCGACTGACAGGGAACGACTGTAAATATAGATGAAGCTTCGTTCACTGACCCGCCACTCACCTCCTGCTGTGCAGCCCCGTTCCTAACACACCATAGACCAGTTCTCTCCATTCCTGGAGATGGAGAGAACAGCATGGTGACCTCCCAACCCCACCCACCATGACAGGCACCTGAGGCAGAAGATATAGAGACTGTCTCCATGAGTGATCCTGGGAGTCACAGGACCCAAGCATCATTGCTGAGGCACAAAGGTGGCAAAGTGTGACTCCAGAGGAGGCCAAGTTCATGCTATTTCTGTGAGGACCATGGGGATTCTCTGGGTCTCCTGGTGGAGGTGGCCCTGGAGATACTAGGAGTTTCTTCCTTGACAGAGATATCAGAGCACTGACAGTGACAATCAGTACAACACCATTCGTGTTAGTGAACAGTGGAAAAAGACCGACTATCTAATAACAGAACTCTGTTAAATATAGTGTATGCTATTTTGTTGAATGAATGAATGAAGTCAGACAGGAAAGGGGACAGTCTCTGTGATTCCATTTATATGAAGTTAAAGGACAGGTTCCTTTAATCTACATGAAGTCAGAGTGGCCCTTACCTCTGGGCGGGGCACAGGGCACCTTCCGGGGTGGTATGGATACCCCTTACAATCTTGATGGGTTGGTGGTTACATGGGTGTATGTATCACAGACCTTACCAACCTGTACAACTGGATCAGTGCTCTCTGCTTCAATAAAAATAACAGTTAAAGAACTATACTTTAAAAGAATTTTTTAATAACATGAGGAAATGCCTATTCTGTAATCTTCAGGGGGGAAACAAGGAGCCAGTCGGGCACAGTGGCTCATGCTTGTAATCCCAGCACTTTGGGAGACTGAGGAGGGCATATTGCTTGAGTCCAGGAGTTTGAGACCAGCCTGGGCAAAATAGCAAAACCTCATCTCTACAAAATTTTTTTACAAAAATTAACCAGTCATGGTGACATGCTTCTGTACTCCCAGCTACTTGGGATGCTGAGGTGAAAGGATCACCTTAACCCAGAAGGTCAAGGCTGCCGTGAGCCGTGATCATTGTGATTGTGCCACTGCACTCAAGTCTGGGCAACTGAGTGAGATCCTATTCATGGTAAAAGGTAGAGATTGAAACACATCATGTGTTAAAAGAGACTTTTGAAATTATGAAAATATGCCTAACTTCCCCCTACTTTCTATTTTTCTGTTTTTCCCATTCCCAGATAATAAACATGTGTTGTTTTTATAATTAGACATTTGTTTTTATTTTTATTTTTATTTTTTTGAGTTGGAGTCTCACGCCGTCGCCCAGACTGGAGTGCAGTGGCCGCTCCCGGCTGCTGCAGCCTTAACCTGCTAGGCTCCAGTGATCCTTCCGCCTCAGCCTTCCAAGTAGCTGGAACTACAGGCGCGCACTACCACGCCCAGCTAATTTTTTATTTATTGTAGAGATGAGGTCTTGCCAAGATGCCCAGGTGGGTCTTGAAACCACAGGCTCAGGCAATCCACTCACCTCAGCCTCCCAAAGCGCAGGATTACGGGCTGAGCCACCGAGCCCAGTTAGACATTTGTTTTTAAAAATGAAAGACTCATCTGCTTTTTACAGTCCCAAATATAGACCAAGAATCAACTCGAGCCCCAGACATTTTCAAAAGAGCTGCTGTGTGGCAGGGTTTTCATCATTGTGCTCATATAGTTGACCCTGGGAACCCAAGGGGAGGAATCAACACTGGGACATGGGTGCAGTGACCAGACATGAAACAATTGTTTAAAGACTGGTCAGTGCTTCAAAGGAAGGCTGGCACAAGACCCTCTCCAATACGGTCATGGAGTCTAGAGTGACAAATTGATGGAAAAAAATCATTGTTCCTAAGGAGTCTGCATGTAATACACAAGAGAACAAGAGCCACGCAAACTGAGTGGGGAAAAGGAGAAAGAGAGCAAGACACTAAGTCACAGCAGGATAAACTGCCAGTGTGGTGGTGTTGTATCTAAACTGATGTTTCATTTAAATGCTGAAGAACTTCCCATGGGCCCTCACTCCCTCACACACTCTTGGGATGACCCCCTATCCAAAGAGGTGACTGGAACACATCTCTGGGCCAGAAACTCAAAACGGAATAGCACACCCTGCTTAGCTGTGCTTCCTTATTTCAGCCTGTGAATCCTCACCCTGCCTCCCATCCAGTGTGTAGTGTTCCAACCGGCTTGTCCATAGAGTCAGGTAGTATTTAAGGTGGAAGGCTCCCCATCCAGCACATCACTTGACAGATGAGGAAATGGAAGCTCAAGAGGGGAAGTGTGTTGCCAAGGTCACACAGCGAGTCAGTGGCACAATCTGTTTGTCTCTGAACCTGCTCCACTACCCCACAGTACCCTCTGGGGGTGAACACATCTTCACATCATCAGTCACCCCAATGACAGACACATAGAACACATGGTAAAACCCCAGCTCTGCATGTTGAAAGCAGGAAGCAACAGTTGCCACAAAGAGAAATATAATGCTTGTCCAGCAGTATACAAGAGTTCTGCACAAGTGTATTACCAGGAAAGAGAAGGCTACCCTTCAAAGAACCAACATTGTGTTTGTGTTACCTATTTTCTTTTGAATGGTATATTGATTTATTTGTCACCCATTTTGTGAACCCGTTCTCAAGCATACTTTATATTTTCCTGCTTAAGTAGCCCACTAAGGCTCTATCCTTATTATATCATTCCATCTTGACCACAGACCTATAGAGTACACTGTATTTGTGGTTTTTTAAACCCCATTTTGTAGATAAGAAAACTAAGGCAACAAGAGTCAACAACTTGTTCAGAGTCAAGTAGTAACAATGAAGCTGAGGTTTAAACCCAGCGGCATGACTGACGCTCTTAATCATTGCCTTCTGAATTGCACATATGGGATGAACTTGAACATCTCCTTGATGATTCACTGTCCTGTTGTGTTACCAGTCTCTGAGCTCTGTTGTAACAGATGCATGCCCCAACACAAGGGGCTCTTTGTTGCTGGGCTATTTCTGGGATTTTCTGGCTTTCTTTCCCATACGGTCACTTCTTTTACTCTCCAAGCTCCAACAATTAGCTTCGCCTTTTCAGCTTCTAGTTGCTAATACTAAGCCGCTCTAGATGAGAACTCCAGCGAACCAATTTTCTTAGAATTTTATCAAATGAGCTCTCTCTCAGAAAGGATCACTGCAGGAGTAATTAAGAGTTTGGTGTGTATTTGGGGGTACAGTACGTGCTGGCTGTGGTTGCTCATATAATCCTCCCAACAACCCATGAAGTGACTGCTGGTATTCAGCCCAATATACAGATGAGAATGCTGAGGGCAGTGAGGCTTCAAGCCTGGCGGTCTGACTATAGAGGCTACTTGCTTAGCCCCAGTGTTAAGCTGCCTCCACAGGTTGGGGGCACGTAATTTTGCTGTTTAGGGTTTGTCTTTGCCTTCTTGGAGATCACAGGCTGGAGCTTTTTATTCTATAGTTGAGGTAGCGGAAGCCCAGAGAGGCTCTTGTGGCTCAGGAGTGACTCTCTGCTGTGTTCTCAGCTCTGTTGTCAATAGTTGAGGTTTTCAGATAAGTCACCAACCACCAAGAGAGCCTGATTTGACTGCATATCATAATGCCACATAATCCTGAACTTGACCGTATACTTTCGGCCATATACTATTGCCTAATTCGTATGGAAAATATCTCATATTTCCAGATAAATGGTATCCTTGGAGTGAAGATATCTGCCACTTATATGTCTGGCATTGTGTAGGTGCCCATAAATGCTTACTGGTTTGGAGAACCATAGAATAATGCCTGGAGTGGAAATTCATAGTGATGTGTCCTACTAGAAAATTGATCCAGAGAAAGATCGGAAGCCTGTTTAGCTCACAGGTGAATCCAGAGTTAAAACCCTTTAGTCAACCAGTTGTTTTAGTTTACATCAGGTGGTGAGTGCATGTGTATGAGATGTGATGGGATGGGAGGACAAGAGTGAGGAAATGAGGGCACCAGGTCAATGTAAAGTCTAGGGTTCCCCTTTACATTTAAAGTTGGTTTGAATTGGGTTTAATTGAAGACAACTAATAAGAGAATCAAATTTTCTCACCCTTTTAGGCTCACCATTAATAAGCCCCGTGGTCTTCCACAAATCATTTGTCTCCCAGACAGTAATTTCCTTTACTGAAATGTGGACTTTTGGCTAGATGGGTGTAAATATTCTTCTAGCTCTAATATCTTTTAATTCTTTCTATTTTCTAACAGATTCTATGTAGTTGGATGAGCAGAGAACAAAAAATAATCGAATGTGAAAAGCCCATGAATAAACATTTAGATCAGACATCTATTCTCTAGCATATTTTCAGCTCAACTTAAAAAAAAAAAAACTGTTCTCTGATCTTTTTCCCCTGTAGTACTCTCATTTATTAAACTCCGCCCTCCCTCAAAAGAAGCTGTGCATTTCCTACTTTTATACTGTCTGTGTGTCTGCTTCGCACAGCTCAGCTGGCCAGAGGAACTGAGATATCTGCTCCCCTACAAGAAACTCTCCCTGGTAAGTCATCTTTCAGACACTTGGCATATTAGTTAGCTCAGTTTCTGTGATGAGTAAAAACCTTTACAGGAAACCCATAGAAGACATTTGGCAAACATCAGGTGCTCTTAGAATTATCTGAAAATATAATCTTTAAGATAAGAAAAGGACCAGAATGTAGGATGAGTTTCAAACTGCTATAACATCTAAGATATAAACCATGACTGTGAGTAGAAGACTTTAAAGGGATCGATATTATTTTAAAAAAAACAAACAACTGTCACCTCTCAAAAGAAAGATTTTTCAGAGAAATGGATCTTAGCTAAAATCTTGGCAGAGATGCCCTTTTGCTAAGGAGAAGTAAAACCTCCCCCCTGCATGCCTCTGAGCATGTGCCCATGAGAAGTTGTGTCTAAGTCTGGTTCTCTTTTTTTTTCCAGAAAAGAAGAGAACCTAAAAATTGTCCAAATTAATATCAAATTACAAACATCAAAGACGATTTTCCTCTAATATAGCAGTTTCACACACATTAATATATGATTCTTTATAGCTCAAAATTTAAAGGTGAGCTTTTCTGGATGCTTCTCCCAGCTGCCTAATCAGAGATACAGGGAGTTTAAAACTCACAGGATTAATTAAAGAAAATGTTCAGCTAAAGCAGTTGAATCTAAATAGACTAGGCGAGCCAGCTGGTTGTGAGGCTAAACTAGCTGGAGTGCATAACATTCATCTATGGTGGTAGATGAAACACTTTTTACTTGGTTATTCCTTGTGTTTGTATGAGAGCTCTTAATTGTGGCAACTCGGAAACTACAGATACAAACACAAAGAGAAAATGTGAGGATTATACAATTGGCTTTTGGCTTCTGTGATCCTCTCTGAGGACCTGGGCATCCACCCATTTTACTCTGACTACATTTTTGAGGCCCCAGGCTGATGGTCTTGCTCTTTCATTCTCTTACAATAAGTGAGAGACAGGGTAGTGTGGTGGTTAAGAAAGCAGGCTGCCTGCATTAAAAAATCAGTTGCTTCCCAGCTGTGTGGCTTTGGGTAAGTTACTCATCCGCTCTGTGTTTCAGGGTCCTTGTTTGTAAAATGTGAACAATATTACCTGCCTCATAAGGTTGACTTGAAAATTAAACGAATGACTGGTATGAAGCTTAGAGCTGTGACTGACATGCAACATGTGCCCTTGGGACCTGTTCATTATTGTCTGCTCTTTGTGGGCTAACTCCAGGGAATCGCAGCTTCAATATAGACTGTAAGTCTTTGAGTTGCACTGTGCCTGACTCAGTTTCTTAAAATTGCTATCAAATCTTCATTAATTTCACATTGCTGTAGAAAACAAAATTTTATTTGGTGAGATGGTGCTTTCATGAATTTCCACAACAGAGCCAAGCTCTCCATCTAGCGAGCAGAGAAGCTAGCAGAAAGCTTTCCCTTCACTACAGAACTTCATTGTTTGGCCCAATGTAGACATCAATGTATCAAATTTAAAACTTATTAACGGTCAGACATGGTGATTCATGCCTGTAATCCCAGTGCTTTGACTGAGGTGGGAGGATTGCTTGAGGTTGGGAGTTCAAGACCAGCATGAGCAACATAGTAAGACCCATATCTAAAGAAATTTAAAAATTATCCAAGCTATGATGGCGTTTAGCAGTTGACCCAATTACTTAGGAGCCTGAGGATCACTTGAACCCAGGCGTTCTAGATTACAGTGAGCTATGATCATACCACTGCACTCCAGCCTGGGTGACAGAGTGAGACCCTGTTGCTTAAAAAAAAGTAAAAACATTTGTAAAACTTAAAAAAACTGTTAATATAGGAAACAGTTTGCATTCACAGTGGACCACTAAATATATTCTAAGACTTCATTACAAAATCACTTTTTGTCTATTCACAGGGTTGATCAGAATGAATTATCAAGTGTCAACTCCGATCTATGACATTGATTATGGCATGTTAGAGCCCTGCCAAAAAATCAATGTGAAGCAAATTGCAGCCCGGCTCCTGCCCCCGCTCTACTCGTTGGTGTTCATCTTTGGTTTCGTGGGTAACATGCTCGTCGTCCTCATCCTGATCAACTGCAAAAAGCTTAAGAGCATGACTGACATCTACCTGCTCAATTTGGCCATCTCTGACCTGCTTTTCCTTCTTACCATCCCATTCTGGGCTCACTATGCTGCAACCCAGTGGGACTTTGGAAATACAATGTGTCAACTTTTGACAGCATTCTATTTTATAGGCTTCTTCTCTGGAATCTTCTTCATCATCCTCTTGACAATCGACAGGTACCTAGCTATTGTCCATGCCGTGTTTGCTTTAAAAGCCAGGACAGTCACCTTTGGGGTGGTGACGAGCGGGGTCACCTGGGTGGTGGCTGTGTTGGCCTCTCTCCCTGGAATCATCTTTACCAGATCTCAGAAAGAAAATTTTCATGTCACATGCAGCCTTCATTTCCCACACAATCAGTATCAGTTCTGGAAGAATTTCCAGACGTTAAAGATGACCATCTTAGGTCTGGTGCTGCCACTGCTGGTCATGGTCATCTGCTACACAGGAATCCTGAAAACCCTGCTTCGGTGTCGAAACGAGAAGAAGAGACACAAGGCTGTGAGGCTCATCTTTACCATCATGATTGTTTACTTTCTCTTCTGGACTCCCTATAACATTGTGCTTTTCCTGAACACTTTCCAGAGTTTCTTTGGCCTGAATAATTGCAGTAGCTCTAATAGATTGGATCAAGCCATGCAGGTAACAGAGACTCTTGCAATGACGCACTGCTGCATCAACCCTGTCATCTACGCCTTTGTCGGAGAGAAGTTCAGAAACTACCTCTTGGTGTTCTTCCAAAAGCATATCACCAAACGCTTCTGCAAATGCTGTTCAATCTTCCAGCGAGAGGCCCCCGAACGGACCAGCTCGGTTTATACCCGATCCACTGGGGAACCTGACATCTCTATTGGCTTATGATCTGGACTCAAGTGGGCTTGTGACCTGGACTGAGTTGAGCCACATGACTCAGTTTTGATACACAGCCTGGAGGTGGGAACAATCCTTTTCAAAAAGAAGTTACTGCCATGGAGGGCCTAAGATTCATCATCCATTTGGCATCTCTTTTAAGTATATTAGTGCTTTTAAGCCCATCGATTCTAGAAAGCCAAATCAAAACATGTTGATGAGATAGTAACCATTTCACCTCCCCTCCACATGCATCAAGTTATTGGCAAACTCTCTTCACCGCAAAAGTTCATTATATACATTTAAGAAAAAATCCTCAGAGAATTGCTGATTCTTGTGTTTGATTACCTGACAGAAATAACAGAAATAAAGTAGAAATGTCTTGTACAGCTTTGTACCTTGTATAAAGGCAACATACAGGGTGTAAATGTGTTTACAACTGGTCTTTGTCTTGCTGTGAGAAGAGACATGAGCATGATTAGTTAAGAAACTATATCTTTTCCTTGTGGTTTCTCCTCCAAGCTATGGTTAACAAGTTTCACAGACTTTCAGGCCCAGGCAGGAGCCCTGTGGACTGTGAGAGTTGGGGAAGCTTCTTAAATGGGAAAGAAGTTGAGCTGGATCATATACTGGCGGAGGAGAGAGAAGTCGGGCTTCAGGCTGCATTCACTGTGTGGGCAAAGCTTGGCTGGGAAGACACGAGGATGGTTGGGGAGACCCTGGGGAGGAAGGACAAGGCTGGACCATGAGGAATTTTGACAGCATAGTCCTTCCAAGTCAGAACGGAGCAGAAGGCTCGTTCCATGGCCAAAGGAGAACCTGAAAAGGTGAGCGCTTAAGGCAAGGAGACCAGCAACAACCTTCAGGTCAGGGTTAGAATGGCCTCCACTAAGATCGAGGCAAGAGGATGGGGAGGTCAGGGAGGTATTAGTATGTGAGGATGCAGAGTCAGCAGAACTTGAGGTGGCTTTGGGTTGGAGGTGAGGGGCAGAGAGGAGTCCGAAAGAAACCCTGGGCTTCAATGGAGACCCTCTTGAAGAAATATCAAGCATGGAAGGAGGAGGAGGAGAATTCGTCCAAGAAGAAGAGGGTTTGGAGTAAGAGGATGAATCTGATTTCCTGAATTTGAGTACAGCCTTACATAGAGAGACTTCAGGCTGTCTTTCACCGAATGTTTCTGCCTTCAAAGGGGTCCTTCCTACCCCAACTCAAATAATGAGGGGTCTTCAGGAGGCTTTAAAACACTAGATTTATGAATGCCTGAGCTTGGGGTCTAGGAACATATTTCAGATCCCATATGAGATCTAGGTGAGGAATGATTACATAGTCACTTAAAATCCAGAGCTATTTAAGCATTGAGCAAAGAGACCTCCCCCACAACCCCGCTGCCCAGAGGCAAGGGAAGTCCAAAAGACTAGCATTCTGCCTGCCCAGGGCACACCACTGTAGGTGTCACCCTCAGAATTTAACTATCAGTAGGCAAAGGGGGAAAGGACATATTCATTTGAAAACAAGCTGCCTTGAACTTTAAAAGACACAGTACGTACAACTGACCAACCTCTGTGTTTCGGACTGAATGCGGGAGCTTTTGGTACTTCCGGATTCCAGACAAACTGTACTGAAGGAATTTATTCATGTCAAAGGAGCGTTAGGATTTTTTTTTTTTTTTTTTTGCAGTTGCTTCTCATATGATTTTGTACATACCTGAGATTGTTTTGAATGTGTGGGTAGCTAAAACCATCATAGTATGGATTCAGTGAGGAAGCAAAATGATGAGACTCACTCAGGGAATTAAAGTGTCATAATAATAAAAGGTGCTACTGACTTTTCTCAACCTCTGAATATGAAAGGTGAGTATTGTGGCTGTCAGCAGGGAGCAAATGAAAGTTGTTGAGAGGGCAGGAGTAGCAAAACACCCAGCCTCTGGGTCAAGTCAGAGACATTCTGGCATCTTTGTGTATGTTTGTATATTCTTATGTATATAGGAGGGTTACAAATTGCCTGAAAGAAAATAAGTGTTTAATAAAAACACAACTTCTAAAAATATTTAATTGCACTCTTTTCTTTCCATCAAGTGTACACTCAGAGAATAGCACATAAAGCTATCAAAATATTTTATAAGAAGCTGTTTTGGAAAACTTCCTTAGTGTGGATAGATAGATAGAATTGTATGTTTACATTTTCTTTTTCATAATTTTAACATTTGACCTTCATCTCAAGACAAATTGACAGAATAATTTGTATTGAAAGATGCTTCCTCTAAGAGTGGGGCTTCTGAGCAATTGACTTGAAAACTTTTAAATTTCAAATTTTAATTATGCTACTCAAACATAAGAAACTGCCATATTTAAAAAAGAGAATCAATGTAGTAAGTCAGTTGTCTGTTTGAAAGCGAGGAAGACATGCAAAGTCATGGCCTGGCCACACTTCAGTCTTGAGTTGCAGGCACATGAGAATGAGATTGCTTTTCTTTCATGTAAAATTTCTTCCCAAAACTTGGCTCTAATTGCGGTAACGACAACAGTGTACATTTGGATTTCTGTGCATGCGTCTCTTACCCTGAGAGAGGACAAGTGCTCTGAGTGGAAGGGACCTGTTGGGTCACATTCACAGTGTGGAACCTGCAGGTTTTCAGTCTGTTGAATACTCCCTTTCCAGTGCAGGACACAAGAGTTAGCCATGGACCTACTTGGAGGTGTGTAAAACAAGCAGAAGATGGTCCGTTGCATCTGGCTAGTAGGGCAGCTTCTCCCTACACTTGAAAGACTGCCTTCATCTCTTAGGTAGAAAGGTGGAACAAACCAAGGGCAGGAAAGGACTGGGGCTAGAAGAGAAGCAAGGGGTCAGGGAGAAGGGAGGCCTTAGGAGGAAGGCAGGGCCACGGGGAGGTTGGAAGTGAGGCAGGTTATTCAGTGAAGCTTAGACATAGATAGATAAGTTTCTTGTAGGCAATTTAAATTAAAATAGGGTAAAAGCCCAGGCATGGTGGCTTATGCCTTTAATCTCAGCACTTTAGGAGGTGGAGGTAAGCGGGTTGCCTGAGCCCAGGGGTCCGAGACCAGCCTGGGCAACTTAGCGAGACCTCATCTCTACAATGAATCATAAAATTAGCTGAGTGAGTGTCACACGCATGTAGTCCCAGCTACTTGGAAGGCCGAGGCAGAAGGAAGGATTGCCTGAGCCCAGCAAGTCGAGGCTGTGGTGACTATGAGTGTGCCACTGCACTGAAGCCTGGGCAACAGAGTGAGATTCCAACTCAAAAAAAAAAAAAAATAGGGTGAATATTCAGACATCTTTCTTATCAATACACAACCTTCATCTAATCACCAGACCTGACTACATTGTAGCCTAGAATGTGGATTTACCAATGCAGCAGATCACTAAAACAATATGGAATTACCCCAGACACAGACATGATGTTCTAAGAAAAACTCACCTTCTTAGTTCATCAAAGGTGGAGAGATGGTAGTCAAAATTTATGATCAGATAGCTGCAGTTCACCCTCTTAGTTTATGGTTAGCATAATAATCATAAAAGTATATAAAACTTCTTGTCAAAGGCAAATGCTCGTTCTTTCTCTTAAGATGCCAATGCCCATTAGGCATGCCTCTTTCTCACTAATCAACTGTGTCTTAATATACTCAATTTGCTCTGAAATTCTTTTCTGTGGTGAGACAAAAGAACCCACGGAGCACCACACTGCACCCCACCCGGCAGCATCTCATGTCAATTTCATGGCTGATGTACCCATGTGCCCTCATTATCTCCTTCCATCTTGTTAAATTAATCTAATAATACAAAAAATCAATGAAACAAAAAGCTGGTTCTTCAAAAGGGTAAACAAGATTGATGGTCCCCTAGCTAGACTGACCAAGAAAAAACGAGAAAAAAACCAAATAAGCATAATCAGAAACACAAAAGATGAAGTCACATCTGACCCTGAAGAAATACAAAAGATCATTAGAGACTACTACGTACACTTGTATGGAAACAAACTTGAAAACCAGAAGGAAATGGAGGACTTTCTGACATCACACAA